GCCTGAGTCCCTCTGGGTGGCAGCTCAGACCATATTGACTAGTCCCACCAATTTGCTGTCATCCACAAGCTTGATGAGAGGCCACTCCTCTAGGCATTGACACAGATGTTAAACAGGTCATGTCCTAGGATAAATCCCTACAGTACTCCACTTCTTACTGGCCTCCAAGAAGAGTACAACCTGCTATCTGCTAGCCTCTGAGTCCTATCATGCAAGCAGTTTTTTTACCCATGTGGTTGGCCACCTATCTAGCCCATAATGTCCTTTTATGGATACAAGATCATGGTAGACAGTGTCAAAAGTACTGCAAAAGTCAAGGTAAATAATATCCACTGCTCTTCCTCATCTATAAATACAGTCATTTTATATAGAAGGCTATCAGGACGACTCACCCTTGGTAAATGCATACTGGCAGTTTCCAGTCACCTCCTTCCTGTGCCCAGAAATGCGTTCCAGCTGCACATGGATTTCCTCATGGACTGCAGTGAGGATGGTCAGCCAACAGTTTTCCTTTTTTTTCCCAAGAGTCATTGGGGAACACTGCAATGGTAGTAGAGACCCCAGTCTCCACAACCTTTCAAAGATAAAAGTATAGCCTTGCAGTGACACCAGACACCTCTCTTATCAGCCTTGGATACAAGCTTTGTTGACCCCAGGCATGTTTATGGGTTAAATTCTCCCATGTAATCCCTGACTTGATCCTCACCCATGGCTGGCAGTTCTCCTCCTTGAATATTAAACACAGAGAGCTGGGAGACTCTGATAATATGCCTGAGGCAACAATGGCTCTGGGTACCACAACCCTACCTGTTTCCCTTGGTAGATCATTTGCCCCATTCAGGAACAAGACCTTTTTTCAGTCTCTTACTCTTGGGGTTGTGGCAGAAGGTCTTATTGCCCTTTGGGTCACTTGCAAATCTTAACTACGGCTGAGCTTTGACCTCAGAAAAGAGACCGTATGTGATTCCTTTGGACATTTCCAGCAGTTTCTGCATCAGCCCAGGAACCCAAGTTACCTCCTCTGATCGTGGAAATGTACGGAACGTTCAAATGCAAGCACTGAGCCTATTAAGAAATGTAATATCTGAATGTCCTCCACAAGCTTCAGTATAAATTGCACTCTTCTATATCTGTCCAAAGGCAGCTGCTTTGTTCTGCTTTGTCAGGGAAACTGTTAATAATTTAATAATGAAAGGGAACTAATGAGGCCTATGGATTCGAGCCTCATGCTCAGATTATCCAGTGTCTAATGAAGTGTGAATTTTGACTGAAGCTTTTTCCACCCTGAGGGGAAAAAGCCACTCTCATCCATGCGGATTCTCCTGTGACTAATGAAGGGTGAGCTCACACTGCAGCTTTTGCTATACAGGGAGTACAGGTAGGGTTACTCTCCGCTGCCTAGGCCTAGTTCCATGACACTTTTGAAAATATGTAGTTCTGAGTATACCTACCCCTTTAATTCAGATTTGACCAGTGGGTTTGGGAATTACTAGGGAGAACGGACATACTCACAAAGGCTGGTCCAAAATCATTATTTAAGCCTCAAGCACTTTGAAACGTCCTAAAATTTTCTTGCACTACTTTGCATTTCAAAAACATTTCATTGGAAAGGTGCAAAATAATTTACATTAAGTATTAGCCTAATTTTTGAGACAGGTGAACCACAATGATTCACCTTTTTAAGAACATACTACCTTTCCAAATAGTGTAGACTACCAACCTCACATGTGTTTATACACTCCATATTTTGACATGTTTAGTATCTTATATAAAATAAGGTTATTTCTAATGTCAGCCAGTAAGCACTCTGTAAAAACAAGTATTATCTACCATTTTCTTTCCATAGGAGACTATGGCTGGATTTAGCAAGGAGGAATGTTGTCTGGTCTGATGTGGATGTACTTATGCCATGAGCAATCCCTCAAACAGATGCATGAGGCTGCTGCTGTCACCTTCCCTAGACAAATACATTCAGGCTAATGACTGACTGGTGAGGTGTGTTCTGCTGTGGCACAGCTGTCCTGTTTTATAAACAGTGTGGGGACAAGGCATGGCATTTTTATTGAGAGGTAAACCAGGTGAGGCCAACCAAAAGCAGCAGCAGGGCCGACCTCCCTTGGCAACCTCGCTACAGCTTGAGTGATTTTACAGATGTGTAGCTGCCACATGAATTAAGTTTTCACTGTGAAAAACCTCACAGAACAAGGCCCTGTGCCACCGCACACAAAGCCCAGTGTAAGTGCCTGTATGTGTGACAGGAGATTTTCCTTACCTTGGTGTGGGAATGGTATTGGTCTCACCCCAGCGGCGTGAGATCTCGTGTAAACAGTGATAGAAGTGCCTGAAAAAAAGGCAATTCTACCCCACTGTGACTGTCAGACTTCTTCCAGTCCCTGTTGTCTCAAGTACTGCACCTATCCTTGACCCTCTTCTTAGTCTCACACATACTCATCTACAAAGACTCATCCTATTGAGTAAAAGAGCTGTTGTATTATACAAGTGACCCAAAGTATAGTGTCTCAAAACAGCTTTATCACAGGTGAGAATTTCCTTTTGTTCCTGCAAATGTATCCTTTTCCACCCACTTGTTCTCCCACATAAGCAAACACATGGAAAGGCTGAGTACATCTGAGTGCGATATCCTGCATGGCAGTGCGCTAGATGTTAACGTGATTTCTGAAAGCTGACATAAAGAAGTCCTTTAGGACAAAATATTTTGCAAAGGGAGACTTAGTGGCACTGAACCGAAGCATCACTTGTTCTTTGTGAGATGTGCCTTCTCCCACATGCCAATGAAAGTCAAACAGCAAAACAAGTGGAAATACATAACTATTATTAACCAGAGAAACAGAATCTAGACTTGAGTTTTACAGAACAATAAGCAGGAGGCGTCACCTGATTGGAGCAGGCTCAGAAATCCAAGTGGTGCGTGTGGCATGCTGGTGACTTGAAAAATCAGCAGTAATCAGGCAAACACAGGTGATGGGCTGGTTATTGCAATCTTTATTATTAAATCTGTCTTGTAAATTCAGCAATCGGGTGTGTTTTATTGGTGTCCAAATGATGTAAGAGTGGCGAGTCAGGCCTATGGAGTGCTCTAAATTATGACAAAATCATGAAATTCTCATTCTTGTTAGGAAGCAGTGACCAGACTGAACAACTCCTGAAATCTTCATGTATTTTTCTACTTTATTTCTCTTTTGAAATCTTAAAACATGAAATCATTATGTCCTTTTAATTACATATGATTACATTATTTCAATTTAGTTATTCCCTGAACTGTATTTTCTGGTTTAGTTTATTCACAGGTTGGTTTCAAGATAAGAGTTGTATTTCTCTCTCCATATATTCCAATTGGCCATTTCTATTTGAAAAGAAAGAAAAAAAAAAAGGGCACTTTTCAAAGTGCCACTTTTAAGGCTTTCATTTTCCTGGCTATTCAAAGATTTTCTTTCCTTAATTTTTGGAGGAAATCCTTGCATTATTTCTGATGCTCCAAGCATCTTAGCACATAGGAACCCAAATGCTTCCATTCAAGCTGTTTCCCTGCCCTACACATACAGCCACGTATGTGTACAGGGAAACTCCGAAACACCTGCCAGGCTCATTCCTTGGCCTATTTTCTCCTATTAGCCTCAGTGACACCGTTTCCTTTCACTACCCCTACTTCCAGATGACCTCCACCATTACATTGTGCTCCCACGCTTCCTACCACAGGGAAATCTAATGGCAGCATGCCTCACTGCCTAGGCCAGCTGCCCAGGACACAAGAGGCAACATCTCTATGCCCTCTTTAATATGCTGTTATTGCTACCCCTTTCATTTGTGATCAGATCAGCCAGGAACCACGGGTGTGGCTACTACCTACTTCCCTACTCCCAGACGACCTCCACCATCCATCTAGATCCTGTTCTTCCCACCACACGGCAGTGTGTCCTGCTGCCCATACACTATTGCTACCCAGGCCAGAAGAGGCACCATGCCCTGCCCAAGGAGGTGGTGGAGTCACTGTCCCTGGAGGTAAGGAAAGACTGGACGTGGCACTTTCTGCCGTGGTCTAGCTGACATGGTGATGTTTGGCCATGGGTTGGATTTGATGATCTCAGAGGTCTTCTCCAATCTAGTTGATTCCGTGATCATAGAATCACAGAATTAACTGAGTTGGAAGAGACCTCCGAGATCATCAAGTCCAACCCTTGATCCAACCCCACTGTGATTACTAGATCATGGCACTCAGTGCCACATCCAGCCTCATCTTATAATCCTCCAGGGACAGTGAATCCACCACCTCTCTGGGCAGACCATTCCAATGCCTGATCACTCTCTCTGTAAAGAACTTCTTTCTAATATCCAACCTAAACCTCCCCTGGCAGAGCTTAAGCCCGTTCCCTCTTGCCCTACTGTTGATTGCTTGGGAGATGATTGCTGATGCCTCTGCTAGCACTAATACGCTATTATTTCGACCCAAGAAAGGGTAGACAGGTGTGGCCCTTTCACGACTTTAGCCAGCCCTCCAGCCCAGCGTCCTCTGCAAGGGGACAGGGGCGGCCAGCTCGCAGGCGGCAGACGCGCGGGCTTTGCCCTCCCCTCCTATTTTTGTCATTTCCAGGGCGAACCGCTCAGGAGCTTCAGACGGAGCCCCGGGCCGGCAGGACCAGATCGTTCCCCTGCCCTGCCCCTCTTGCCCTGCCGTCCTTGCCCTCCTCTCTTGTCCTCCCCTCAGCGCCCTCTCCCCTCCCCGCTCCCCCCGCCGCCATTGACCCCCGCCGTGACGGCGGTTGGCGCGGCTTCCCCTCCCCTCCCCTGCCCTGCCCTGCCCTCCCCGCCGCGCGGCGCAGGCGCGGCGGCGCGCGGGCGTGCGCTGTGCCCGCCCCGCCCCGCCCCGCCCTCGCGGCCCCGCGCGAGCCGCGGCCGTTGTTGTCAGTCGGAGCCGGAGCCGCGGCGGGAGCGGCCGCAGCGCCCGGAGCTGTCCGAGCGTCACCCGCGCCAGCGGCACGGCCCGCCGCGCCCCCGAGCCGCCCCGCGGGGCTCACGGGCCCTCGCCCGCCTCCCTTCCCCGCCGAGCTCCCCGTCCCCGCCGCCGCTCCCGAGGGCAGTCGCGGCGGGCGCTGCCCATGCAGGGGGCGGCGCGGGGCGCGGCGCCCCGAGGAGACGCCGCCGCCGCTGCGGGCTGTAAGTTGCCGGCGGGGTTGGACCGGATTCGGCTGGGGTTGTGGGCCGGTGGGGGTTGGTGGTGGGTTCCTTCCTCCCCCTCCCTGCGCCTTCCGTTCCTCCCGGAGCCGGCCGAGCCCAATGGCGGCCTCGGCCCAGGGGGAGGAGGCGGCGGTGGGGGGACGTTCCCCGGCCGCCGCCGAAGGTCGGTGTGTCGGTGCCGCCCGGGTCTGCAGGGGAGGGCAGGAACGGCTGCCCCTGCAGGGAACGGCGGGCTCCCGGGATGCGGGTGTTCCTGCGGGAACAGCGGGCTCCCTGGATGCGGGTGCTCCTGTGGGGACGGCGGGCTCCCGGGATGCGGGTGTTCCTGCGGGATCGGTGGGCTCCCGGGATGCGGGTGCTTCTGCGGGCACGGCGTGCTCCTGGGATGCGGGTGCTCCTGCGGGCACGGCGTGCTGCCGGCAGCCTGCCGTGCCCCGGGCGCGGCGGAGTGTCGGTGCGGCACGGCCCCGTGTGACCGCGGTGACAGCCGGCCCCGCGCGTGTGACCGCGGTGACACCGGCCCCGCCGCCCCCCCCGCCGCCGCCTGTGTGCTGTCGCCGGGAAGGGAAAAAAGGTAAACAAGCGCAGCCGGAGCCCCGCGGTCCGACCACGGGCGCGTTTTAGGGGAATGACGGTGCATCTTGCCCCTCGGAACCGAGTGCGTAGCCAACAGGTTTGCCTTCGCCTTTCTCAGTCCGGGGCTGGAGCGTGGCCCTCCTGACAGAGGCTGAAAGTGTCCCTCGTGCTTTGTCAGTACGTGTCTTGCTGCTGTCAGTACACTTGCGTTGAATTTGCTGCCTTTAGATCGCTGCAGAAGTCGGTCGGTTAGCTCGTGAGGTCCCGGATAGAGGTCTTTGTGCTTTTTGCCAGGTGGGTTTTGGCACCCAGGTGGTACTGCACTAGAGAAATTAATGGAAGGTGACTTTTAAAGATGTTTGTGGTTGATGTACAGTCTTGGTAATAGTTGAAGGACAGATATATGTGGTTGGTGTTGTTAGTTGTTTATGTTTTGTTTTTTTTTTTTCAGTAAATAGACTGAATAAAGTGTTAAAGAATATCCACTAGGGAAAAAACCCCTATATTGGCCAGAGGATGGTTGGTGACAAAAGTGACCTATTTTCAGATTGGATATTTTTATTAGTAAGGGGTGCTAGTATACCTGGGAAGGAGAAACCTTTGTGGGGGCTATGTGTATATGAAAAACTTTGGGTTTTTACATATACCTAGTTTCTTATTGACCATCTCACTTCCAAGAGCTTATTAAGAGTAAATAGGTAAAGAAGTGGTTTCCTCAGTGGTACCATTGCAGTTACTGGAGGAGCAGCTGAAGCGTATTGTATGATTTTCAGCCATCTAGCATGAATGAATTGAATGCAAATGTGCTTACGCCTGCCCTCTGTAGTGCAGTCACTACTTAGTCATATCGGCTGCTTTTTTGGAGTTGTTTATTATGGATATATTTAGATCTTCAGGCTCTGGGGAAGGACCAGTTTAATGAATCTCAGCAAAGCGAAGTCCATGTAGAAGTGTTTACAAGCAAATGTTTGTTATGGTAGAATTAAGCATTTCTTTCAAGGCATTCACCATTAGGAACTGGGTTAAGGAATGGTGGGATTTTTTTTTGACAGCTCTATCTCAGAAAGTGGGAAATTGGATGGTGGTTATTTTTGTACTGTTGCTGATCCCAAAAGAAGGAATCTGAAGCAAATAAGAACTAACAATTAGTTACTATGCAATACAATTAAATTTTACCTTGTGAAACATGTCAAAATATTAACTTAAACAGACTAGTATCTGCCCCTTTTACTTCTAGGGCATGCAAACATCCAGATTTGAGGACTTAATAAAAGCCAAGGATGAGAAAGTCCCATCTTGTCTCATATTTTTCCTGAATATTCTAAATTACCAGTAAAGTAGTAGAATGATGGCAAGATTTTTCAAGTGGTTGGGAAAAGAAGCTAATCTCAGTGCTGGAGCTTTGCCTGGTGGTCAGGGTATCATCTAAGATGGCACATTCATCTGACTCTTCTAAGAGAATCCTTACGATCCACACTTGAGGCTTTCACGAAAAAACAGGGAAAAGGGAAAATTACATCCTAAGTGGATTTAGTGTTTTATGGTTTTTGTTTTCATCTTACACAATTGCGAAACAAGAAAGTACAGTTTGAGTTCTGAACACTGCACAGGTTACTGCTGTTCCTTGAATCATCCTGCTATGAGAACTGATACTCCCATGTGGTGTGGGTGGTTGGACTGTAATAAATAGACGACTTTCTGATTATTTTAAACAAATAGCATGTTAAGAGTATGCATGTTAATATGCCACTGCAGATATTCTTCTGCTTAAAGTAGTCATCTTCCTTGTGCACTGTTTTGACCAACCTGGTCTCTTCTAATTCACTGCCTTCAATATCATATTTGAATAATTCTTTTTCAGTCTACACGTTCAGTGTATCGTTGTCCTTTTTATCCCACTAACAATGCTAATGCCAAAGTAGTGCCTTTGTCTTGCTTAGCCTGCCTTGCTTTCAAGGGCACAATATCCTGGTGCAGCTAGCTTTTTTCCTCACAATGTGTGTCTCCTGAAATAATGCACTTCTTTTCTTGGATTTTGTTTGCTTTTAAAATTTCATTGAAATGCTGTAGCTGTAAAACTGCTTGATGAACTTCTGTCCATTCCTACTTAACAGTGTTTTCTAATTATGTTTTAAAATAAGAAAGCTATGAAGCATGTTTCAAATCAGGGAGGGCAGATAGGGCTGAACTGCAGTTTATCATGAATATAGTAATATTAAACTGCATTAGCTCTTAACATTAGTAGCCTGTGAGGTTCTGCACATCTTCTGTGTCACATTGTTATCAAGTGCTTAACTGTAATGCTGCAGCTGCTATAATAATGTAAAGTAGCTGTTGTTTTAATACACATAACAGTATTATGTAAGAGCTTAAGAGGATTTGAAAAATAGTGTATTCCCTTACCATTCTAGAATAACTCACCCTGGCAGAATTCTAGTACACATAAGTTGATTGAGTCACCAGTGTTAAAGAACTTAATGAGAAAAATTGCACTTGTGAAATATAAAAACCGAGCATGTTCACTTTCTGAAAAGCTGAATCTCTCTGTATTACAGTGATCTTCTACAACAGTGGTGGGATACAGATGTTGCACTGAATTTGACAGACTGATTTACTCTTCATATATCATTGTGTTTTTTCTGCAGCAGTCTCCTATCTGGTGATTGCTGGAGTTACTGACTGGACTTAAACCAACTTTACTTGGGAGATGATAGCCTAGACTTTTATAGTCTTAGTTCATATCGAAACTTGGTGGATTTCAGGTGTCTGACAGTTCCTGACTAATTTAGGATGCTATAAAAGAGAATAAACTATTGAAACTGAGTAACTGTAGGTTGGGGACAGTCTATTTCTTAAGGTTTAAGTAGTTTTATGCTAGATGAAAATGTCAGTTTTATGGAGGCAACTTAAATCAATTCAGCACTTGACATTCGACCTTGAAGATGCTCTTAAGAAATTTTATAGAAATTATTATTGCTTGTAATATGTACTAACAGTACACACATATATTTGCATCTGAATAGTCATGTTTGAGATGGAGTCTGATGCTTTCACCTCCCTTGAGAGAGAATAAAAATCATGTCTGTGATTCTGAATTTACACAACAAAGATGTAGGTTTTAAAACAGTGGTAACATTGAAATGTTACGCCACTCTGAAATGTTCATTGATTAATGGCAGAATGTTTAGAATTCCTGTTAGTGATCTTGGCTGCACTGCCTGGCATGACAAAATTATGTGGTAATGTTAATAAAGAGGCATTTGAAAAGGTGAAGCAATTCTGCGAATTCATGGAGTAGATGCAACCCTTCTGAGAGAGTCCAGATTGGTGGAATAAAAATCTGAGTTGTCTGTTTTCTGCAAAGTTCCTGCAGTAAATTTACTGGAAATAAAGATTTAGTGTCTTAAAGATAGTGATACCATTGTGAATTACAATAATGTGACTTCTACCTGATATGCAAAGTATTTCTTCATCAGTTTCATGTTCCTAGTTGTTTCGGGAGATGAAAAAAGGAAAATGTGATATGATTTAGAATATCAAGGTCTTCAAGAGTCTACTTGGATACTGGTTATCAAGTTTGAAAAAGTATAATTTTTAGCTAGGGAGCCCAACTTCCATGAGTTATCTCTGTTGCTTTTACAATGGTTGACTGAAATACTGGACCTTGATTGGTTAGGTTTATGAATGTCTGTAACTAAGATACCTATGCTAATTTTCTGTAGTAGAGGAGAAATTTTTCTCTTAGTGGAACTACAAAACGTGATAGTTTCAATCAAAACCAATTTTTTATATATATATATTGTGACATCACAGGATCTGAACAAACTTTTATAGCTGATCTATAGATACAAAAAGACAGTACTAGCAAATATCACAAAACCTGGAGCAAGTCCTTTTAAAAGATGTTATCACTTACTATTATGCAGAAGATAATTTGAGATATGGCTATGTGGGAAGATCTGGTATTTTTTTCTTACTATACAATAATACTTTAGGAGCAACTTTAGAACTTAAGTGCTGTATTGCTGAAGCATCTGATGTATGTGAACAGAGTAGTGTCCGTAGTTTTTCTTTTTTTTTCTTTTAGCTACACACTGGACTTTGATAGTAGGCATAAAAGGGAAACAGAGACAACATGAAATTAATTGCTTTTGGAGCTGTGGCTGGTGTAAGGACTTGAAATGGTGTAAAGCTGTTGCTGAGTTTTTGAATCCATAGGGCAGATTGTATTTGTCTTGTGTAATACCTCCCCTTAAAAATGGAAAGTACCTTGTGAACCATAGTGATTATCAGCATGGTTGTGAAAGTATCTTGGGCTTTTAACATATTTCACAATTGGAACCAATGCCTGTGACTACTAGTGACGAGTTTGTCAATAGATCAGAGTTTGATCACTCTTAGCA